AGGGCCGCCTGGGCAGCGCCCGGCGGCGGCGCCCCTCTGGGGGGGTGGGTGCAGGGCCGCCCTCCTCAGCTGGGCCTGGTTTCAGCTGTCCGGGTGCAGTGGGCCTCTTGTAGCTCTCGCTCGTGCATTTGTGGATGTGGAGGCAGCTTGCCAGTGCCTCCGGGCACAGGAGGGCTTGGAGTGGGGAGGCCCTCAGGGGCCTAGGGGCTGCCCCCTCTCCGGGCTGCGGCTGAAGCACCTGCGCTCAGCCCCGCCCATCTGCGTGGTGGGTGGAGGCCCGCTCCCGCGGGCAGTGCACTTCTGGATGCTGTTGCCTTTGCCCAACGTGGGCCCAGCCACTGGTGGCCCAGCTGTGTGGTCTCTGCTGCCCTTTGCTAAGTCGGGGTGCTCTTAAGCACGCGCTCTGCTGACAGTCACTGCTCTGGTTGTCTTTGCGCCTTTGTGGGCTGTGGGCTGTGGGACTGAAGGTGGCACCCTACCATGATTGGGAGGGAGCTCAGAAGCTAAGCCGGTGCTCCTAAGGAGCTTTGCTTTACTGAGAAGGCTGAGGGATGGGAAGTGGGAGACAGAGGGCAGAGGGTCAGGAAAGTGGCCTGATAGCCGAGCAGGCAGCTCTGGGGTGACAGGAGCTATGCAGTCGAGGGCCTTGATGACGGGTAGAGGGTTCGCTGGTCTTGTCTACACCTTCGCCCAGGGCGCCGCCCACTCCCGTTGCCTACTCAAAGACGGGCCTCGGCGGCAACATCAGCTCCACTGCTCTGGCTGTGATTAAAATGAGTGGCGCCCTCTCTGAACCCCAATCCCTCAAAAGCATCTCTACTGCCCTTGCAGCTCCGGGCTCTGGCATGTTGCATTTACCCTCCGCAGTGGGGTGGATGCCCAGTCGCCCCTCCTTTGTCATTGAGCGGTGCACCTGCCACCAGCTTTGTCAAGGACACAGGTTCCTGAGTTTCCTGAGCTGTCCTGCTGAGCCCCGCAGACAGGCATGCTAGCCTGCCTGCCTTCCTCATCAGTTCAGTTATTTCTCACTCATTTCCATTCCTGGAGGGGCCGCCTCCATGCAGCCGGGGCTGCTGATTGTGTGGAGACATCCACACAGGGACCCACAGGATTTCCTCCCAGGTTCTAGGCAAAGGTGGGCGAGCTGGAGCCTATGGGAGGCCACTTCCCAAACAGCCCCAGAGCCCCTCCCCACTTTTAGACCCTTCTATCTCCCACATTGGTTTAAGGCAACATTAGCTGTTGTGACAGAGCAATCCCAAGTGCCAGTGACTTAACCCAATTCCAAGAGATTCTTTTCAGTTCATAAAAAGCCCTGCAGTGGTATGTGGGGGGCTCTGGCCCACGTGGACATTCAGCGAGTCAGGCTGACAGAGGCTTCAGTATCTTCCTCACATGCTCCCAGTGTCAGTCGGGACATCGACACAACCCACCAGACAGGGAAAAGAGAGTGGGCGCAACCAGTCCAGTTTCCTGCGAGAACAGTCCTCATGTTCAATGCATGGGTTGTGTGTAATGAATCAACTTCTCTTGAGTGTTCAGAATGGTCCTACGTATGTATCATTCTTGGAAGATTGAGAAAATAGTCAAGCACACCCATCTGGGAGGGCTTAATTCTCTCAGAAATAAACTTGGAGTTCAAAATGGCCAGAGAGGTTTTGAAGGGCTGGGAAGAGGAGTGGTAAATCTCCGCTCCACCCCCAATCTTAGCCAGAGCACAGTCCCACGTAGATGCAAAGAGGCTGGGAAATGTAGTGTCAGCTCAACAGCTGCTTTCCACCGTCATCTGTTCACCAGCGAAAGGGCCAGTAAGCCTTTGGAGGGGTTAGCTGTCTCTGCCCAGCACACAGCAGGTGTACCAGAAGAGTGCTTTTGGCCTGGGGGGTGACTGGCGAGTCTATGCTGGTTGGTAAAGAAATGACCCTTCAGCCCCCTCCCCTCACGCTCCTGAAAGGCAGCGTGTGTCACAGGTCTGGGACCGGCTGCAGCCTCTGAGTGGGAGGTCAAGCAGAGGACCTGGAAGCCAGCAGCCCAGATACGAGGTGTCTCCAGAAGTTACTGGGTATGTGGCTTCCGGCAAGTGGCTTAGCATTTCTCAGTGGATTTCTTCATCTGTAAAACAGTAATAACCCCTGACCTTAGAGGGAGCTCCGTGTGGTAGTTTCTGTATAATGTTCACTGTCATCTCCATGGCAATTAGCTTCTCTGGACAGAGAAGAAAGGATGAGGGTGTAAAGATGAGTGGTTGGCAGTTGGAGGCCCAAATATGCCAAGCGGAGCCATTAAAACTTTTGGTGAAGGAAGCACCACGTGAAAGATATATCAGAGAATGAACTTGGTAGTGTTCTCAAAAGTGTTAAGGAGCTAGGTCACTAGTTGGTTCCTGCTTGACTCTGCAGACTCTGCCCAGATCCTGACTTCTAAGCAACCAAGGCTGCTCCCACTGTGCCGACACTATCTATGCTGGCCACCGGGGGGCGCCAGCACAGCATCTGTGAATGGTGGGCTGACTGTGGCCTTTTTTCTGGAAATCTGGAGTGTTCCTGGTCAGCTCAGTTCTGACAGCACAGTGCCCAGGGCCTCCTAGCGGGTGGGCCGTGAGAAGAGAGCTGCAGGGCAGCATAGTAATGCCCAGATAGCTCAGGGCAGCAGCCCAAGTCGGGGTGCCTGTCTTCCCTGGAGTGGGGGGAGTATGCATGTCCATGCAGAAAGTACAGCTTCTGCCAGGCTGACAGGGCAGTTGCCAGGACAGGAGTGTGGTGGCCCTAAGGTCTCTCACCCCACCTGTGCCCAACTCCTGAACAGGCCAGGAGCCATGGGGATACATCTCAGAAAGAACCCCAAGTTCCCCTCCACCTCCCATTTGGAAGGTCAGGAAGGTGAGCCTCCATTGGAAGACCGGAAAGCCCGTGTCTCAGCTCTGCAAGGGGAACCCCTCAGGGGACTTGCCCTGAAGACGTGGGTTCAGCGACCTCTAATCCACCTCTAAGTGTGGATTTCAGCTGTGCCTTCTAAAAGGATTCTCCTCACCCCACCACCCAAGCCTCCCGACTGCAGCCTGTCGAAGAGGGTGAGCTGCAGATCCCGTTTTGTGGCGCAGGCATCAAGAACCTCTCAGAAAGGCGTGCAGAGCACGGTGCCAGAGCTCTGCCCAGCCCCAGCGGGTCTGGAGGCGGCAGCCAGCCCACTCACAGTTCTCCAAAGCTCAGGGGGGACAGGAAGGACTTGGTCAACGTGGCTCACAGGTCAGGGTGCTGGCAGAAGCCTGGTCACAAAGGAGCGTCGACAGAGAATACTTTGAAAGGTGTGACCAAGGCTAAGGACAGCCCCAGAGCTGGAGCAGCAGGAACCACTAGCACCCAGCTTCAAGGTGCAGGGAGAGGGCCTGGGGGGAATTAGCAGAACCTGCAGAGGCTGGCTGGCCGGGCAGCAGCCGTGGTCTCCGTAGAGGGACACAGCTAACCACAAAAGTCCACCAGGACTCCAGTGGCGCCAGGCCGCCCTTGGGCCAAACCCTCCCAGTCGCTAAGGGCAGGGGCTTCTGGGTAATGCAGCCGCTTGAGACTGCCCGGGCCCAGAGCCCAGTGGAGAAAAGTTGGCCGAAAGGGGCCAGGGAGTGACGAACCCACACTCAGAGGAGGAGAGACGCCGTCCAGGACAAACCCAGAACCGAGTCTGCAGTCCCAGGCCCGGGTGCAGCGAACACCTGGCTGCTTCAAATTGGCAGCCTCAGGGGCGCTCCCGCCTGTCCCCCAACAGTCCCCTTGGGAGAGTGCATCTGGAAGACACTCAGAAGGCCCAGACAATGCGGTGCTGCTCTGCTTTTTACCAAGCTGCTTTGGCACTGCCAGGGAAAGGGTGAGGTGCTTCCTGAATCTTCCTCTAGCCACTGCACTGGCAGGCCACAAGGCCTTCCTGTGCCCCGTAGGTACCCAAAGCAACCAAATACATATTTGCACTAAAAGTTTATGTGCAAAACTCATTCATTTCACGTCTCATTTGTCAAGAGACATTTTGATATTTGTGCTTAAAAATAACACAGGCTGGATTAGCACAGCAGAGCCAGTGCAGGAGCGGGGCCCTTCTTAGCCACGCTCAGAAATCTGGCTCCTAATTAATCTGAACACTGACCTATTTTTCATGAACAGTTTGTGGCTGGTTGCAGTTTCTAGAAAAAAAAAAAAAAATATGAGAGAAAACAAAACGGAGTATCTTCCAGAAAAACCCACCTAACCAGGACGGGCGCCTTGGTGAGGCCCAGCAAGAATGTGGCTCACAGTGGAATGTCTTGTGTGTCAGCAAGAGGGTCCCATCTTTGAGGACCTTGGGACCAGATCCATGGGTGAGAACCTCTAATTAGCCTCGGGGCTCCTGCTCTGTGGAGAGGTGTCCTGGCCCCTACAGAGAGCCGGCTGGATGTGGCCAGCTGCTGCCTGGTGCCCACACGGAGAACCGACGCTCGACATTTCAATTAATAATGAGAGAAAGACAGCCAAGGCCATGGGTGAGACAGCTTCACAGAGGCTGTTACTGCTGGGAGCCATCAAGGGGAGCATCCTTGGGTGTCGCCATGGCAACTGTAAACCGTGCCCGCAGGGGGCTCTGGGCAAGGTGAGGGCACTCACTCCCGACCTGTGCCCCCATTTGGGGGACAAACCTGGTGGAAGTGG